AATTGGATTTCTTTTGTCAAAAAATTAAAAAAGTTCATTAACTTACACCCCCTTCTCACTGGTGCTTCGGAGTTCCAACGTCATTCGGCTCCAACTTTATGTTTATTACTAGCTACTTGCTGGCAGACTGTTCTGGCACTGACGCCCTGCTATTGTGCACAATGTACAATTCCGCTCTTGGGCGCAAATGGACTCTCAATCGTCTTTCCCATAGGCATATTTATAGCTACGGCAGATTCTGGTGAGCTTTCACTTTGGCTAATGAATGCCAGACATCGACCATTTACAACAATTCGATATGAGCTATGCCAGCAGCATTTTGCAGTTCTGGTTATGGCTGAGAGTGAGTGCTTCTGTGCTACTGCTGTGCACTAGTTTCACAGTTACTCCCAATAACTAAAGTGGTGAAAGGAAGAATAAGAGGCACCGTTTATGACGCCCTATTGTCTACTGCTGCTGCACCAAAACACACACACACATTTGCCGCCGTCGGCCTCCTGGAGCCATCTTTGGCCTATCCCCGTTCTTGTGCTGGTTGCAGAGTTCAGTCTGAGGCGCCCTGAAGATTGACTGCCGTCGCCAAAGTGAGTCTGTATCTCTGCGCCTACGGGTGGTGATGGTGGCAGTGCAAACACACACACACTTGCATTTGCATTTGCATCAAAAAGGCGAGTGAGCTGAAGAAGAGTAAGTGAGTGGTAAGAGTCAGAANTCTCTGCGCCTACGGGTGGTGATGGTGGCAGTGCAAACACACACACACTTGCATTTGCATTTGCATCAAAAAGGCGAGTGAGCTGAAGAAGAGTAAGTGAGTGGTAAGAGTCAGAAGTACAGGCAAAACTCACAGTACGGACGCGCCAGCAAGTACGGACGATGACAACGCCATCTCGTTTAGTAAAGCAGTTTATTCAATTTTTCTATGCAAAAACATTATNTGCAAAAACATTAGCGTCTGTTGAGACAAAAAGAGCGTTTTATGTCAACATAGACGTTGGCGCCCGCAAGTACGGATGAAAGCTGCGATACAGATTTTATCCGTACTGTGAGTTTTGCCTGTAGTAAGTGAACGGCTGCTGACCACCCGAGCTCAGCTCAGCTCAGCTGCGGCAACTCCAACTCCAGTGCCAGAGAAGGAGAAAGAGCGGCGGACAACGACAACGGCAGCGGCAGTAACAGCACACTCCTCTCTTCTCCTCTGCCCCCGTTCATTAGCACATTAGCACATTATAACCGAGCTCAAGTGTCATTGCCTTCCTTCCTCCTTCGAAGCTCGTCGGTATCACAATCACCACCATCCTCGGCTCAGCTCGGGAATTCATCTCGAGAATCCATTTTGCCGCTCAGTCCACCACCAAAAAAACCGCCACCAGCCAGCGAGCATAGCATTCTCGTTGCCGGCTCTAACTGTACGCTGTACTCTAGCTGTAGAGAGAGAGCACACCATCATCCGAAGAACAGCACCAAAACACAGACGCAGAAATCGCTTGTGTGTGTCTCTGTTGTCATTTCATCCGTCATTATCACCACCATTTGGTCGGCCTTTCTCACGGCCAGTGAAAGCACAAGCATCACCATCTGCGTCTATGTTTGCATCCATCCATCTGCAAGCCACTTGTCATCCGATGATTCAAGTCACCTAGTCAGCTGTGTTAGTTAGCCTTGTGTTACAGCCTGCAGCAGCACTCACTCACTCTTGCAAGGCAAGCTAACCGGCCGACCGACCATATTTTCATTGCCTCAGTTTGTCAGTTGTAGTCTCTACGTGCCAATCGTCGGTTGGAGTTGTTTGTTGTCGTCGTCGTCGCCATCTTGAAAATGAGTAAAAAGTGTGCTCGTTGCGAAAAAACAGTTTATCCAATAGAAGAGCTTAAGTGCCTGGACAAGGTATGAGGTTCACCTCTTTGTCTTACTGTTTACCTACCTTGGTGCCATTCTCCCATTGATTCTCCCCACAGATATGGCACAAGTCGTGTTTCAAATGCGACGAGTGCGGAATGGTGCTGAACATGAAGACCTACAAGGGCTTCAACAAGCTGCCATACTGCAACGCGTATGTTATCACCCTTTTGCATCACTGTTTGATCATTACCAACTAATCGCTGATTGCTTCCCTCTTTGACATTTGCAGCCACACACCCGTTGCACGTGCTACGACCGTCGCCGACACACCGGAGAATCGCCGCCTGGCTGAAAACACCAAAATTCAAAGTCAGGTGAAGTACCACGCTGATTTTGAGCAGCAAAAGGGAAAGGTAACTCAGGTGGCTGACGATCCGGAGACGCTGCGAATTCGCAACACCTCGAAGATAATCAGCAACGTCACCTATCATGGCGACTACGAGAAGAAGAAGCAGATGGAGCAGAGGCGAAATCTACTTGAGAACGAGAACGGCAACATCCCTCCGATGTATATTCCGGTGGACAAGGCCGCAACGAAGAGCATGACAGCCTTTGTCAATAACAACAACAACAACAATGTCCCTGCAGCGCCTCAGCAGCCAGTGCTCAAGAACACCGCCATTGGTAAATGAGCGTTTAATCGTTATTTGAAGGGCATATCAATAAAAACTTCATAATGTGATCTCTTTTCCTCTCCCTCTCTTGTTCCCTCTCCCTTTGTCGGCAGATTATCACCAAAGAAATGCTGCTCCCTACGGCGCCTATGGCAACAATAATGGCAATCCAGGTAAGCAACATACGAGAATACGCGATAATAATTACTGCAAACAAACGGCAGTAAACGCTTACTTTCACTCTTTCTGACCCGATCTTCTTTCTTCCTTTCCTCTCTTTCTTTTACAACCCTCTTGTGCTCTCAATTGCTCTAATTGCTGCCTTTGTTTTGTTCCGCATGAGCAGCACCAGTCCAATCAGCCAAAGTGACTACTGCCATTCCTGCGAACCCTAACGCCAATTACCTAACCGATCACCAGCGATATGTAAACTCGCAAATTGCCCCGCAAATGGCCCCTCAGCAATACCATCACCAGCCACCACCCCAGCAGCAACAGCAGCCCCAGTATCACCAACAGCCACCGATGCAGCCTCAGCATCAGCAACACCTTCCTCAGCACCATCAGCAGCCTCCGATGCAGCCGCAGCAGCAAGCACAACAGCTAAGCCATGACAGTCGCTATTATTCAGGTACGATTGCGTTCTGCTTCATTAACTCCACTGAATGGCCATCATCACTTTCCACTGACTGACTGGCTGATTTATTATTTTTCATTCATTTAATTTTTTATTATTTACCACCTTCCTTCCCTCACTCACTCATTCAGGCGTTCAACATCAGCAGCAGCAGCCGCCGCCGCAGCAGCAAAACGTCGCCAGGCCGTACGGAGGTGCGACCAATCTGGGCCGATGCTTCAGGGCAATTTACGATTACACTGCTCAAGACGTGGACGAGGTTAGCTTCATCGACGGGGACCTCATCATCCACTGTCAGCCCATCGATGACGGATGGATGACGGGCACNCACTGACTGGCTGATTTATTATTTTTCATTCATTTAACTTTTTATTATTTACCACCTTCCTTTCCTCACTCACTCACTCAGGCGCTCAACATCAGCAGCAGCAGCAGCAAAACGTCGCCAGGCCGTACGGAGGTGCGACCAATCTAGGCCGTTGCTTTAGGGCAATTTACGATTACACAGCTCAAGACGTGGACGAGGTTAGCTTCATCGACGGGGACCTCATCATCCACTGTCAGCCCATCGATGACGGATGGATGACGGGCACTGTTCAGCGCAGTGGCCAGACGGGCATGCTGCCGTCGAATTACGTCGAGACGGCCTAACAAGCTCTACAGTACGAGAACAGGCACACATCACATCATTGCCGAAGCACACCAAACACACACACTCACACATTTACACTTTCTTATTTTTCTTACTAACCGCTTGTTCACCAGCGTATTATATAGACTGCGAACAACTTGTGACTGCTAACAACGACGACCATCACCAGCACAGATGATGATGCACCCGAGACGGAACATCGGCATTTGGAATCACTCAACATGTGAGTCATCTTGCATTTGCTTCCGTCTTTCCCTTCCCTCCCTCTCTCTTCGCTCTCTTTCGAAAACTGTTTACCTTAAATGTTTGCCATAGTTGTTGTACCTTGAGATTATTTATATGATTACGTTTTTTACTTGTCGCTTATACTTTTATATACTTCCGCCATCAGCCTCACACAAACACACACACAGACAGTTGTACGCATTTTCCAGCCCCTTTACACCCCTGCTTCTACAGAATCTCTTTCTCTCTCTTCTTTTGCAGCTCTCCTCTTACATTTGAGCCCAGATGTAAAACACACACCCACTACTTTCTTCCCGATCACTGAATCTTACGACAGCTATCTCAGAGTAGTACTACCTTAGAAAGAAAAGTATTAACCCAACCCATTCAACCAACTTCCTCCTCCCCCTTCTCTCTTCTGTTTCTGATATAATATCACTGATCCTCGATCTGCTTACAAATAGCCTCTATCTCTTCACCTTTATTTTTACATTTACACACCTATTGACCTTTTTATATCTTTTTGCCGGCCTAAAGAATTTCGTTTCTACCGCCACTTTTTCTTGTAATATTTCTTCTTGTATTTAAAGACTCCGCTATTCTGTTATATCTTGTGCACACTGGTAATTTTATTTTGAAAAAGCACTTCAGTGGTCAACGACAGCAGTAGGCGTACTGGGCGTCCATGTACTTTCGGTGCTTGGTGGTGAGCACGTAGAAAGCCTTGTTCACGTGGTCCCGGCTGGCGAACTCCACCACGGCCCAGGAGCCAGTCTGGCTGGAGACGGTGTACGAAAGCGACTGGTCTTTGCTGGTGCCTTGATCATCATTATCAGCAGAAGGACTGCTGTTGCTGCAGCTGTTTTCCATTTTGTAGTCCATCAGAAGAATGTTGGTGGGCGGACAGCCAATGTTCTCGAGGATGTTGTAGATGCCATTCTGGTTCAGAGTCACCGGGTAGTCGTAGAGAATGAGCCGACGAGAGTCCACCTCGGCGTTGTTCACCGAATTCGTCTCTCCGTAAAGTAGGTCGTCTTCGTATTGATTCATCATCAATGAGTGAGCTTTGCCTTGTCTTGTCTTAACCGTTATCTTAAAGTTGCAGTGCTTGAAAATTCTTCAGAAAGAAAAAGTACGTTCTAAACAACAAGTTGTTGTTGTTGTTCTCCACTTGCTGTTGTTGCTTATCAGCGTACTGATCACTCACTTACTCCCTCACTCGCTTTTTTGCTCGCTCGCTCGCCTGCACCTCCTGCAGTTCTCTTATCTCGGCGCAGTGAAGAGATCAGAAAAGCAATGGAGAAGGAGGGAGGGAGGGAGAGTTTCGCAATGCCGCCAAATGCCATCGTGCGATCGCTGGCGCTGAACAGTGGCACTAGTGCACAGGGCCACCGATTGATAGTGAGCATCAGCCATCATCTAGCGTCGTCATTGGCACACAAAGTTAGTGACACTAAGTAAGCAGTTGAGTGGATGAGGGAGTGTGCAATGTAGTGCACTCTACTTGCACGCCAATGTATGCCATCGTGAAGGCAAGGGTACTTCTTTTGGCTGACGTTACTATTGGCACTGATCACTTTACCTTGAGCAGTGGATAGTTGGTAACCATTGCAGGCAGGCAGACCTGAAGTGCATGGACTAGAGATAGAGATTCAATACACATAGTATCAGTTTAAAAAGTGTGGCAAAGTGAAATGGCTGATTTGCCAACATTTTTTTCCAAGCAATTTGATTTTTTCCCATAGATGTGCCGCTTGATACCCTTCAGGCGCTATCAACAGATATCTATCAACGATGTTGCCTGTGTAATTACTAAAATATTTTTATTTTTTACTTGTACAACACACAGCAAAAGAAAAATAGTTTTGGTTTTCAGGCAGAAAAAATCACGATTTGGCAACGTGAAAAAAAAATTAAAAGTTGTACTTAAGGGGGGACAACGCGCACATAGCAACTTTTTTCGAATTTTTGGTTTTCTTTTCTAGTCAACAGCTTTTTTCAGCATGATCTTGAATCACGCAGGTACCATTTTCTCCTAAACGACAAACTTGACAAAAATAATCAAGGTGTCAAATGAAAAATGACAAAATTATCTAGATTTTGTAGGCCTTACATTTTTTAAATTTACATTTTTTTCTTTTAAAAAAATTTTTCAAAGTTCAACATTTTTGTATTTTGTGTCATTTGTAGTCTTTCACCATCTTTCAAAAATTCATATCTGAGGAATCAAAATGAACAAAAATACTTGGAGTCCTACAAAATCTAGATAATTTAATCACCTTTCATTTGACACCTTGATCATTTTTTTGGTATTACCCGTTTTGGCGGAAAATGTACCTGCGTGTTCAGAACACTGATGTCGTTACCGACAGCGACCCACTCATCGGATGACCATAGGATCAACACAAAACTGTTTTACATAAAATTCTTAACAATCCTTATTGAGTATATTCTTCATAAACATCATAGCCACGCCGAAATTAAAATTTGAAAAAGCAGTAAAAAAGTGCGCGGTGTCCCCCCTTAAGGGATCAGTTTTCATTTATCATTTATTCATACGTCATTGAGAATAAAGTTTTAATAGTAGTTTTAAGTGTAGGTGCATAAAACTTTATAACGCTGAACGTTGAGATTCATTTCTAACTTTGATGATTGTTACTGGCTTGACCAGGATTAAGTTACGTAGAAGACAGATCGAAGTTTTTCAGTGACTCGAGCAGGTCAAGAAGTACGAAGAGAGGGGTGGTGTACTTTTTACGATTGGACACAGCTGGTTTCGGTGCCTTGCCAAGTTCGTCGCAGCGAGAGGTCGACTCGTTGTACTCTCCGCACATTATATCCACAAAGGAACCTACAAAAAATAAACAGTTGTACAAAAAATCTAATTTTCTGTCCAAAAGTAATAGTCGTACCAAAAATGCCTCTCACAAAGTCCAGAAGCATCTCCTTTCGATGGCCAACGCATGAAAAGGTGTCGAGAAAATCTCCGTTGCACTGCATGGTATCCACGTATATGCTAAAAAATGAACACAGATGAACAAAAGTGCTGACTGCGATGATCTGGTCAAATCACTTACCAGCAGGCATGTCTAATCTTCATCTGATCGTCCAGTTTCAGTGGAATGACCTGTTTGGTGCCGTCGGTGTACTTCCTAATGCATGTGTCATTGTGAATGCCGGTGTTGAGGCACGCCGTGGCTTCCATCAGTTTGGCCAGCTTCTTCGTCCTCTTCCGACAGAAGGTGCGAATGTTGCTCCTGATGGAGTACAGCAGAACGTTGGCCGAGTCGCGAATCTCCCGTTTGTAGCACTTGGCAAAGTAGGCGTACACCTGTTCCACCAGCTCGGACGTCTCGCGGCAGAAGGCGGACAGCTGCTGGTAGCTCTCGGGAAACTTTCGGCCAAAAGGACCGAAGCCTAGCAGTTTGGCTACCGCCTTGTCCGTCCTTTGCTGGTACTGGGTCGTACACTCCGGTCGGTTGATCTGGTACTTGGACCTGGCGGCGCTGGCCACGCAGGCCAACAGACAAAGTCCTACCAGAAGGGTAGTTGCGACGATTTTTGCGACGGCGATGCACTTCATGCTTCTCCTGCAGTTGCTGGGTGAGTCTGTGCTGCTACCTCCTCGTCGACGTTCGATTTTGAAGACTCGAGCAGTGTGAAAAGAAGGCACAATGTAAAGTAATCATGTTGTAGCCTCCTTCTTTTTCTTCTTCTGCCTCTCTTCTTCACCTCAAATGAAGCACTGCCCTTGATGGCTCGTGATTGCCCTCCTGTGAAGCTCGAAAGCACTCCTTAATGTTGCAGCAGCATTAATTTCTACCCCTACCTGGCAACAGTTGTCGCCTGATTTTACTACTCGAAAGATGTTGTTTTCTCAGTTGTTGTTATTTACTTTCCAAAGGATGCACTGCTGACGTCTGCTGGATCACATCGGTGCATTCGGTGCATTGCAAAAATGTCAAATTCATTTAGTATCAAAAGCACTACTAGTGAGAATGGAAAATGTTTTTGTTTTCGAACATTTCTATTTTTGTACAAAAATAGCAGTGACGCCAATGATTTCACATTGTAACACGCTTCAATATGGCTGAAAAGAAAGCTACTTCCGAGGATGTTCAGCCGCCATCCACTGGTGAAAAGGGAGTGCCAGCAAAGACGGTCCCTGTTGGGAAGAATGCCCCTGCTCACAAGTCGGACGGATCAGAGATGTTGTTGTTCAGCTCCTCTGACCATGGCAAGCAACCACCACCAGCACCACCAAAGGGTGCACCAATGGTAGTGGAGAAGCCTGGCAAAGCTGGTGACGGCAAGGGGGAGATGCCTGCAGGCAAAGTGGCTGGTAATGAGGAAGGTGGAAAGACTACTACTGCCATGATCACTGCCCCCGCCGCCACTGCACCAGCCTTTCTTACTGCCCCTCAGGTGGACAGCCCAATGCCACTGCCCAGTGACTATGTGCAGTTCTTCGTGAACCCAAATGAACAGGTTCTAGCTGCGGCAGAGCCGGTTACCAAGCAGGCCACTGAGCCGCACACCGCCACGAAGAAGACCGAAAAGAGCAAACATGGCGTCAAGCAGACAGCAAAGGATCAGCAGCAGCCAGTGACCAAGCCAGAGGAGATTCAGACGATTCACTCTTCAGATGGGGTCAAGCCGCGAATCATCAAGTGCCGCAATGGGGTGCCAGAGTCACTGATCAAAGCCATTAAGGAGTACATGGACAAGCAAAAGTAGAAAGAGAAAAAGATTGTCTTTTATTTCCAAGTACAGTAACAGAATAAATATTTTTCTCATGAAAAGTGAATGTTGTGCTTATTGAAGGCGCACAGCAGCAGCAAAAAATCGTCAATGTCCATTGAGCGGGCTCGCTTGCCCTCGTAGCCGCTCTCCTTCAACACCAGGTCAATCTTCTCCTTCATGTTAAAGTCCTTCTCAATGGGCACATTGTTCACCGAACAGTGGACTTCGTAATTGTGCTTCAACATGTCGCAGATGGAGGAAAAGTTGAACAGTGCGGAGAGCGTCTTGTTCTTGCGAAGGAAGCAAATTCGCAGCAGACCGTCCCACTCTTTGTAGTTGATATCAGGAGGTGGGTTTATGGGCTCCAGGCGAATTACTGATGATTCAACCTTAGGCGGCGGCCTGAAATTATTTTTGCCTACCTTCATGATGATATCAACGCGTGCTAGGAGCTGTGTGTTTACCGACAATCGACAGTACAATTTGTCACCGGGCTTGGCCACAAGACGCTGGGCAAACTCTCGCTGGAACATGAGAACGGCACATCGAAAGAAGGGTCGGTGCAGGAGGAGTTTAAAGACAAAAGGCGATGAAATTTGGTAGGGCATGTTGGCGACGCAGACGTCGAAAAAGGGCAGCTCTCTCTCGAGGACATCGCCTTGAAGAACAGTCAGCTTTGCCTGAAATGGCGTTGACTGAACTCGCTTCTGCAACTCGGCCACCATCCGAGGATCGACTTCACATGCGACCACTTTCTTGACCTTTTCCAGCAACTTCACAGTCATGTTACCAGTACCTGGACCGATTTCCAGTGCCACATCACTCGGCCTTAGAGCAGCCTGCAAAAAAGTGATCAGTTTAGAAAAGAACACATCTTTTTTTCACAAAACCTTACCTTTTCAATCATAGAAGTCACAACAAGGGGATTTTTGAGAATGTGCTGACCAAAGGTCTTGTTGAACTGAATACCCTGCTTCTGGATTTCATTATGCTGTCTTGAACTCTTTGCCGACTTTACTTTGGGCATTTTCTACTTCTAGAAACGCAGTTCACAGTTTAAAGATCAACAAGAATGAAAAAGAAACCTGCAAAAACATAAACAGACGAGTTGCACGTGGTGGTGAAGGCGGTAGCGTCGTTTACGACGGGTACACCTGGCTACAAAACCATCGGCTTTTTTCATAAAAAAATTGCTTTATATTCTCGCGCTTGTTGCCGATGTGAGTGCAAATCATGCCGGCATTACCTGACTTTGGCGTCGATTACCCCACCATGGCCGCACCAGATACCTCCAACATCTTGGAAGTAATCACCAACTTCGTTGACACCTTCCTCCAGCAAGACTCCTGCTTTCCGCAGCTGGCGGACACGCTGAAGCTGTCGCAAGGTAAACAATGCCTCCAATGACCGATGTTGAAGCAAGTTCAGTATTTTAATTTGTAACCTTTGTCACCTCACTCAGGCGTCTCAATATCGGGCCTTCAAGATGTCGACTACCCGAATCTGGAAGAGTTTGGGAACTCCCTTAAAACTCTATCACAGTTCGTTGGTCTCAAAAATATTCCTCTACCAAAGATGCTTATTGATCAATTTGGACGTGAGTGTTTTCAATCAACCTCTGAACGTTTGATTTACTAATTTGCTTATGTTTTTTATAGAAATGGTTCAACGTTGTGAGATGGGCATATTCACCGAAATTGGCCGAGCATGGCTTGCCATTGACACCAACATTTATTTGTGGAAGTACGACACGGGGACAGATGTAGCGTACTACGATGCATTATCTCGTCTGATCACCAACGTTGGTTTTGTCAAGCCTAGAGAAGGTATGTTTTTGCAAAATTTACATTTTACATTAACTAACGGCTCATTGTGTTTAGGTGTTTTCAAGTCACACATCAAATACATCTTGGTTTTAGTGACGTTTGACGAGATCACTTTACTAGGAATCACATTTAGCGATATCGACAATGCCGACGATATGGGCGATCTTCTCGTCATTCCTGAGCCAATCTTTACAATTCCAACTGATAACATTGAGATTAAAGTCATCAAAGGCACCGAGGACGGAAGAATATTTCTCGGTGGAAGCGATGGCTGTCTTTATGAGATCACTTACCAGGCTGATAACGGCTGGTTCGGAAGAAAGTGCCGAAAGATCAATCACTCCACTAGCGCATTTTCATTTTTAGTTCCGAAAATTCTCAAGACTTATAATACTTGTAAGTGAACTAGTGTGACTCGTTGAACTGTAACGGTTACTTATCTGATCTTTTTTTACAGCTGTCATTGTTCAAATTGAAGTGGACAAAACACGAAATGTTCTTTTCACCTTAAGCGAAGAAGGCGATATTGAAGTTTTCGATCTAGGAACTGATGGCAAATCGGCCTCTCGCGTATTCTACAAAAGTGTCAGCTCCATAGCGAAGGAAGCGCAGTCAGTTGCGCGTACCATTGACGAGGTGAACTTCAAGAAGATTGTCTCAATCAATGCCATTGAAGAGTCTGAGTCAATTCACATCAACCTGGTGGCGGTCACGCAAACCGGTGTACGGCTCTACTTTACAACCACGGCCCTAAATTCACCCGAGATGCGTCCCTTTTCACTGACACTGATGCACATCAGACTGCCGCCTGGATTCGCCGCATCCTCACTCTCCCATCGACCTAGTTCAGTTCACATGTCCTACTACAAGCGGGGAAATTTCATCTTCATCTCATCCTTTGATAACAAAGACACCCTCTGGGCGCTCAGCAACGATACCTTCGCCTTCAACACCGAGCTGAGCGAGCTTTTCTCCATCATTCCACTGAACAATAAGATCTGGTCAATGGCAGAAGAGGCCAAGGTGGTCGAATTTAAGCCATATCAATGTGTGTTTGTTAAGAACAAAACTTTTGCTCTGGAGGCGCCGTCGACTGTCACGCAGCACATTGAAGCGCCGAAAAAGTTTGTCTTTCTCACCACACAGGGCGTCATTGTTGGCTACAAGCCTCGCATTGTCGACCAGCTAAAGCAACTTCTAATGGAGAACCAGGGCTATGATAATGAAGCTGTAAAGTCCTTCTTCCTGCTGCACAGCTCACCACAGACCAATGCCTGTGCTGTTGCGCTGATCATTGCCTGCGACTCGCATCCCCCAGGCGAAGAAAGGCTGATTGAGTGGGCCACATCGGCGTTCTTCCACTATGGAAGCGATCCAATTGTTCCCTCGGCGGCGTACAATCAACATATTCAGGCGCTTCAAGCAAACAAACCAGTTGTCTCCACGCCAAACTCGAACCCAACTTCGCCGGGTGGTGATGGTAGCAACTTTATGCTGTCTCCCGGAATGAGCATTCCACGCTCGACGGACACATCCTTCGCACTCAGTCCCATCAGGCAGCAGTATGTCCAGAATATGTCGCCGCAGACAACGCCTCAAATGCAGGCTCAGAATCCAAACTTCATTGTCCACCCTAATGTACAGTTGCCGAGCTATTCGCTCAAATGCCGTGGTTTGTTTATCTACTTTTCGCGCATCATTCGGCCCATCTGGAAGTTGAAAACCGTGAGCATCAAAGTTACCGTTTCACCGGAAGGTGCAACCAAAGAGCACCTGGCAAGTAATATCTCCATTGATGAGATCAAAGTCTACCTCCTTCGCCTTTCATCACTGTGCAACTTTCTGCGGAGCAATATGAAGTTTTCTCAGCCCGAGTCGGACAAGTACCACACCAACCTGACGCGCTCTCCCTTTGTTTTTGGCGACATTCAGGCCACTGAACGGCAGTTGATTTTTGGCTTGTTCAATCTGATACAGCACTGCGTGGAGGTGCTCAATCTCTGGAAGCTGCTCTGCGTGCATCAGTTTCACGTTATCGTCTCGACGCTGCTCAAGGATAAGCAGACCCAGCTGTCGAACATGACCTTCCAGGAGTTGATTGTCTTTGGAAGTGAGATGACGACCATTCTTGCCAGTGCTCTGGTGCGTCGCTTCATCGAGGACAACTCTACCACCGATATCATCAACAAACGGCTGCAGGACCTGTGTCCGTCGATTTACAAAAATGAAAACGCTCTCCACGCCAAGGCCCATGAGATGGTGATTAAGGCAAGGTCGCTGACTAATGAAAACGACCGAAAGGTGCTCCTGGAGAATGCACTAGAGCTGTGCAAGAAGATTGGCGCTCGAATCAACCTGGCGGCCATTTGCGAGCTCTTCCAGACCGTTCACTGGTACGAGGCCATCGTCGACATCTGCCTGACCACTGCCCAGAACTGTGATCCACAAAATATTGCCCTTCACTACTACAAGAACAAGGAGCACATGGACGACCAGCAGGGCAAGATGGCGTTCAACGCTCGTCTGGAGTGCTTCAACCTGCTGCTGGAAATTTACGGCCGCCTGTGCCAGCAGAGTAAGGCAGTGCTCAGCCCTCGAACGCCTGACCCTTCGCAAAGCTTCCTGACGCCGGACGCGGCCAAGGCGCACGCCAACACCATTCTCCGTCTGGCCACGCAGTCCAGTGATGAACTGTTTCACTATACACTGTACAACTGGCTCTATGAACACGGGCAGAATGACAAGCTGCTGGAGATTAAGTCTTCCTATCTGGAGAACTTCCTCAAGGAGAAGACCACCGAGCTGCAGGATTCAATTGCCCTGATGGACTTTCTGTGGATGTTCTACGAGCGCAACGGGCACTTCAACGCGGCGGCGCAAATCTTGTCCAAGCTGGCCGACCAGCAGAGCACTGACATCAGTCTGGTCAAGCGGATTGAGTACCTCTCGCGAGCCATTGTTTGCATGAAGAGCCTGGACACTCGGCTGATGGGCGCCTCCTTTGGAAAGCTCAACTCTGCCGGCGAGTTTCTGCACATTCTCGAGGAGAAGATGGAAGTGGCGCGCATTCAGATGCAGCTGCTGGACAGCATTGAGAAGCTTCCACAGCCGCAGCACTACGAGGACGCCATTAGAGTGCTCAACTCAAGTTTGCATAATGTGACTACGCTGTACAAGGACTTTGCCGAGCCGTTTCAGCTGTTCGAGTGCCAGCTCAAAATTTTGCATTGCGCTGGCCATGAAGATTTGAATCTAATTGAGAATATCTGGCGAAACATCATTGACAAGGAGCTGATGCTGGTGGCGAACAAGGAGCCTGAAACGCAGAAGAACCTGCTGAAGAATAAGATTCGAGAACTGGGTAGTCTGTACCTTAATACGGACAAATACTTTCCTATCGGTAAGAATGTTTAAGACTAGATGAGCAACGGTGCTTACTTTTCTTCTCTTGATCATTGCAGAATTGATCATCAACATCCTGGAAACGGCCACTCAGTCCAGCTCTTTTGAGCCGTATTGGCTGGCAGAAACACTGCTTGAGCTAAACATGCGACTAGTTGAGCTCTTTGAGATTTACCACAAAATCTACAAGGCGCGCGTCTATGGAGCAACACTTGACCCGATTCATCTACTGCAAATCCTCATCTATCTCATCAATCAACTTGGACACTGCCACATGAGCTCATCTGAACGGTAGGCTTCTGTTTCCGTTATTGCGTTTGCTTGGCATCACAAAAACTAAACAATTCTTTCTTTTTCTACAGAGACTACTTCATGTCCAAATCACTGGACGTTATTTCTGGGTACCTTATAGATTGTAAAACATTTGACATCAATGACCCTCGCGTGAAGACCATCAACTCTGAACTAAACAAAACCCGATTGTTTTTGGAGCGCTCGACAAAATCAATGTACTAAACAAAATGTCTTGGCTCGCATCTGTGTTTTTACTTAGCGTGCACATTATTCAAATTACATCAAGAACAACGGATAACGGATTGATTTTTTTTCTACAATGTATTTACACAAAACTCTCCTCAACGATATAGTAATTATTATAAATTAATTAAACAGCAGCATTTACATCATAGGTCTCTAGTGCAATGACTTTGAGGAAGCCCTCGGCGTCACGGCTGTCGACGAAGACGCAGGCAGATCGATTCGGGTAGCCAGAGTATCTACTGCTGGAGAAGACCGTAATCAACTGGCCGGAGTGGTGGAAGCGGTAGCCTTCCAGGACGAATTCGTGACTTCGGATCACATGCGACAGCTCATTGGCTTTTAGAAAGTTCTGCAGTGCCTTCTCGGTGTAGTAGTACGCCGTCCCGCGGACAGTGTTCGGCAGGAAGCAGTCATTGGCTAAGTTGGCGGGATTCACCTGACAGAGCTCGCTGTACTGGGCGTCGGTGATTGGGTCGGACCAGAATATCTGATAATGGTAATGATGATGTTAATGAGGCTTAAGAGACTGAAGTCTGTTCTTACCTCCCACGCTATCTTTGACTGAGAGTAAGGGTCAACCAGTGGACAGGGAATTTTGAAGATGCTCTCCATTTTTGTGGTCGAAAAGGGAATGCCTCCGTGGGCGGCAAAGATTGACTCGTCGATGACGGCAGCAATTGGCAGGTGGTCAAAGGCGCCGTTGAATGCCTCAAAGACGATGTTCGTGTCAGAGGACGATTTGCAGTATCTAAATAGGTTTAGAAGTCAGAACGAGAGAGAAAACTACCAACTAAATCAATTCTAGGCTTACTTGTTCTTGCACTCCTGGTAGAAGGAAAACTTTCTCTGGACGTCCCGAATCTCGTGTGCACCACGAAGAAGAAAGAACTTGGTGGGCGCGAGAATCTTCATGGCGAAGAGGTAGCAGACCACCTCGATGCCGTAGTCGCCCCGGTCGACGTAGTCACCTAGAAAGAGCACATTCGGTGCGTTCGCCATCGGCGCCAGCGGCCACAGTTGGTCTTCGTAGATCAGCAGATCGTCAATGTTGCCGTGAAGGTCGCCCAAAACGAAGCAGGGCGCATTTACCTTCAGCAGACGAGGCTCAACCAGGAGGATAGAGGTCACCTCTTTGCAGAGCTTCCTAATGAGCTCCACCGTCAGCCCGGCGGCCACCTGTCGCTTCACCTCCTTCTTCTGCTCGGCTGACATCCGACCCAGATCGGCCATCTTTCGAATGAGCGCCAGCACCTTGTTCGCCACCTCGCTCTCATTGAAGACCACTTCAATGGAGTGCTTCAACTGCTGCTCATTGGCTCGCTCCACAAACTGCAAATTCCGGTCCAGCTCACCGCAGCTCAGATTGACCAGCGCCTTGGGGTTCTCCACTCGATTTTGAACGTTGATCCGCACGGCGTGGTACGCCAGACTGTACTTCTTGGGGCGGCACTTGGCGCAGGTGCCCAGCTGGTAACGGCTGAACGGCTTCCCGTACTTGTTGACGATGATCTCGTATGCCTGGCGAGAGTGGACCGCCTCGAGGATCGCCTTGTTCGTGCGGAAAAGGTGCATGATGCCGCCAATGTGACAGGCCTCGTTGAGAAAGGCCTTGTAGCTGATGCGCCTCGAGTCGTCCAGCAGCTTGAGAATGGCCAGTCGCGACTTGACGTCATTGTCCAGCTCGGCCGGATCAGAGGAGAGGTTCGCCTTGAAGCGAATGTCCCCCACCAGTCGCTTGAAGTCCTCCTCGTCGAGGAAACCATCAGCATTGCGATCGTAGTAGCGGAAGATGTAGGTGAAGCGCAGCTTGGAGTTGGGCACATTAGAGTCGAGTGCGGCCAGGCCGAGGAGGAACTCATTAAAGAGCATGTGGTGCTTGTTCTTGAAGTTCATCGCGCGGAAGACGTTGCGCAGCGAGCCGTCGTCAAACTGAAGGAAGCTAATCTTGGTGAAGTACTCGTAGAAGGAGCAGAAGGTCATCGTCGCCGAGGGGAAGCAGTGCTGCACGTAGTCGCAGTAGATCTTGATCACGTCCGCCTCCGTGAATTTGGCCTCGTGCAGCATCTGACAGAAGCTGGCCGTGGAGTGGTTCTGTCGCTGGCGGGAGAGGTACTTCATCACCTCAGAGCTGGAGAACTCCTGCAGCACCGGCGTCACATACGGCAGTGACTGCTGCAGCGAGGATGTGCCGACTGGTGGCGACTGCAGCTGCAGNCAGTGCTGCACGTAGTCGCAGTAGATCTTGATCACGTCCGCCTCCGTGAACTTGGCCTCGTGCAGCATCTGACAGAAGCTGGCCGTGGAGTGGTTCTGTCGCTGGCGGGAAAGGTACTTCATCACCTCAGAGCTGGAGAACTCCTGCAGCACCGGCGTCACGTACGGCAGCGACTGTTGTTGCAGCGACGATGTGCCGACTGGTGGCGACTGCAGCTGCAGAGCGGGCGCCACCATGGCCACTTCGTAGCCCCATAAGTGGTCCAGAAGTGGCTGCACCGGACTGTTCTGCCTCGCCTCCGCCACGATGCTGTCGATGGAGATCCACTGGACGTTGCTGGTGTCCTTGCAGCAGCGGGGCACACTCGCACTTGTCGTTGGTGGACTGGATGCCGGTGGCGGTGATGGTCCTGGTGAGTGCTTCGAAGGCGACTCACTAGAAC